AACAACAAAAAAACACAAAAAAACAACAACAACACAACAACAACAAAACAACAAAAAAACAAAAAAACATCATCAACAACAACAACAACAACCAAAAAACAACGGGACTGCAAGCACATTTCGACGAATGCGTGATTTCTAGTCTTCTATGTTCGACTTATCCGCGTTATACTGTATCTCACTGAACTATCTGCGTACTCTAATGTGTGTGGCTGCTGAGAGATGACAGTGTGAACACTACACAATAAATATCCCACTAAACTATCTACGTTCTCTACCCTGTGTTGTTGCTGAGGGCTGACAGTTAGAACACCACACAATATAATATAATATTATATATGTTACCCATTAAACTATCTACGTTCTCTACTCTGTGTGTTGCAGAAGTGGCCGGGGTCCCGTACTGTTCCATGGATGTCTACGCCAGGTGTTATCTCCCCACACTCAGTGAGTCTAAGCGCCATCTACACCATTTCACATACTTTTGACATTTTAAAGCTCCCGGGAAGCTGAGAATGTTTCTGAGTGCTCTATAGTCTGCTGGGGTAATAATAAAGTGTAAAGCGAATAGAGCTTGCTTTCTAGTGGGGACATGCGCTATACAAATGCTCTTTATTATTATTAAAGACGAACCAAGAATTGAAAGAACACTGACTTCTCTGATGACCATCATCATCAGTCTTTCTTTGTTCGTTTTGGTAAGTGTTTTACAGCGCTCACAACTGTATTTATATAAGGCCATATAAGCGGGAGGCTGTTTGATAAGAATTTTGAATCTTTGCCCGGCTGGCGACCGAAGCCTACTCTGGTCGATTTTAGGACCACCAAGGGATCTTTAACCTCGTCACCGACAGACCCGAGAATTGAGTTATGGAGCAGGTCTAGGAGTAAAAACACATTCCTGCTTTCCACAAATCCCAGTTTTTTAGAGATTCACTGAAGGCTAATTTTTTTACATGTATTTGAAATAAGTGGTTTATCTGATACCTTAAAGTACTGTCTAAGAGGAAATGCGCCATAATATCTGAAATGTATTATTTATTATTATTATTAATTGTTTTGGATCTGCTCGTTCATCCTGCATTAGAATAAAACGATCAAGCAATTACCTGACACTTTCACCACTCTACATCACACCATTCAAAGGCTGAGGGTGGTTGGCGGGTGCTCTGATGTGGTTTGCTCCTTCTTTCCTATTAAAACATCTATCGTCTCTATCTCTCCTCCTTTTTGTGTGTGTGTTACTCTCTTGTAACACCTCTATTCTTCGGCACTTATAAGACCTCATTGTGTTGCAAGTGCCGTAAAACTCTTACTAAAACTAATCTAGTTCAAAGGAAAAAGTTTCCAAACATTCTCTCTTTCCCCAGAAGAGTTCCATGTGACGTCACGCGCCAAGTCCGAGTGCGGCTGTACCCTGCCGTGTTCCAAAGTGGAGCACTCGGCCGGTGTGTCGACTGCTCGATACCCGCTCAGCGACAGCGATGACCTCATTGTGGACTTCGGGGATGAAATCTACCAGGGGTAAACACACAAACTGATTTCCTCTTTATTATAT